GGCCCTGGGCAGCAGCTCTGTGCAGGGAGCAGACGCGTTCTGCAGAGGGTAGAGCACGAAGGGAGCATTGTCATTGGCGTCCAGCACGAGCACGCGCACCAGAGCCTGGCTGCTGAGCGCAGGCAAGCCTTGGTCTGTGGCACCCACGCGGAACTCAAAGGTCTGCAGGGCCTCATAGTCCAGCGCCCTGAGCGCGAACAGCTGCCCGTTGTCTGCATTGATGGAGATGAGCGAGGAGAGGGCCAACTGCGGGTCGTGGGTGGGCAGCAGCGAGTAGGTGATGTGGGCATTGGAGCCTGAGTCTGAGTCTGTGGCGCTGATGGTGCCTATGTGCAGGGCGGGGCTGTTGTTCTCCTGAACAAACAGGGTGTAGGAGGTTTCTGTGAAGGCGGGAGCGTTGTCGTTGACATCGGAGACCTGCACTGTTATGGTGTGCTGGGTTGTGAGCCTGGGTGTGCCCAGGTCGGTGACTGTGATGGTGATGTTGTACTCAGCTTTGCTCTCTCTGTCCAGTGCTTTTTCAGAAAGTAGAGTGAAAAAGTTCTTGAAGGTGGGTTTCAGAATAAATGGAAGGTCGTCCTGAATAGAGCAAAGAATCCTTCCGTTGTCCCCAGAGTCTTGATCTCGGACACTGAAAAGAGCAACCAGGGTCTCTGAAGCATTCTCTGGAATTGTGTTTGTAATTGATGATATGGTCACTTCTGGAGCATTGTCATTTATATCCAATACTTTGACTAAAAGAGTGCATTTTGCTGAAAGACCTCCACCATCTGTTGCTTGGATATTTACAGAATAGGATTGTATTACTTCAAAATCCAGTAATGACCTCAAGTTGACTTCCCCAGAAGTTGGGTTGATGTCGAAGGTTTTTCTAATACCTTCTGATGCTTGCAAAAATGAATATGATATTATCCCATAATTTCCTAAATCTAAATCTTTAGCAGAGATAGCAATAATACTGGAACCAATGGGCATGTCCTCTGGGACCTGCACCTCATACAAACTCTGGGCAAACTCAGGAGCGTTATCATTGATGTCCAAGACTTTTATGAGAATGGATGTTGTCCCAGACCTGGGTGGAGACCCACCATCCAGTGCTGTAAGTGTCAATCGAAGCTCAGATTCCTCCTCATGATCTAAAGCTCTGTCTAGAACCAGTTCCGGATATATCTTTCCATTACCACCGTCATGAATTTTAACATAGAAATGAGAATTAGGGCTAATGCTGTATTCCTGGAGACTGTTGCTTCCTATGTCCAGATCTTGCACATTCTCAATTAAGAATGTGGATCCAATAGTTGCACTTTCTGGCATTTTAATAGTTATTTCTTTGTCCAGGAACATAGGTGAGTGATCATTTATATCTCTGACATGCAGCTCAGCTCGATAAAACTGTAGAGGGTTTTCCAGTACCACCTGAAAAGGCAGCACACAGGGCTGGGTGGAGCCACACAGCTCTTCCCGGTCCAGTCTCTCACTCAGGAGCATATCTCCGGTTAGCAAATTAAGGTGTAAATGCTTTTTATTATCATCTAACACTACTCTGGCATCCCTGGAGGATAGCTCCGCAACCCCCAGGCCCAGGTCCCTTGCCAGGTTAGCCACAAAAGAGCCAACTTCTGTTTCCTCCTCTACAGAGTAGTGCAAAGATTCAGTACTCGCCCGAGACAATCCCAGCAAAACAAAGAAAACCAAGACTTGCCTTTTCCACAGAATGAGCGTCCTTCTAGTTCCCATAGTTCCTGCAGGCGACCTCTTTTGTTGCAAAATTAAATTTGGTCTCAATTTTGAGAGACGAAGGTCCGATGTTTCTATTGTAGATCCCTTGGCAGCTCTGTCGGTGAAGCTCCTGTAATACCTCCCTCCTCAATGAATTGGCTGTTCTCTCATCCTCTGGATGGAGGAGCCCACAGAGCTGGCTATGCACTGTTTCATCTTATCCTATAGCGCCACCATGTGTCTTTGTGAATTTTTTCATTTAGTATTTTTCTCCTAAAACAATTTGTAAATACATCTATCTAGAATATTCAAAAGCAAATTTCACATAGACTATGTTTATCTCTAAATATTCATTAATCATTTCTAGTTACCAATGCCCTTTAAAATATAATTACAATATTATTACCACGATTGACATATTTAGAAATAATTATAATTCAGTCTGTTTGGGCTCTCCTAGTTTTCTACAAAATGTCTCTTGTTGTTCGCTTGTTTGAATTAGAATACAAATAAAGTCCATACTCCTAATCAAACCACTAATTCTTTGAATGTCCAACTCAAAAAAGGCTCATTAAAATTTTCCCCAAATAAATAAATAAATATTTATTTCAAGACAACTCTTTAGAAGTTGCAAATATTTACCTCCTCTCTAGTAAATATTTGTTGGTTGAATCCATAATATAATTGGTAATACCATCACATTGTATTCTTTATCTCTTTGTCTCTCTCTCATATGAATCAGGAAAAATATAAAACATACTACTTTTTATTAGTAGTTAACTTAAGTCATGGGAGTATTAAGACTCCTTGATTTTACATTTACAAAATAGTAGGTGTATCTGTAAGAGTCTGAGGTTAGTCTGGTCTACATATCAAGCTCCATGCTAGTGAAGACTATGTAGGCAGACATTGTCAAAAAACACATATGCACATATGCATACATACATATATACATATACACATATGAAGATAATGATATAAATAAGATGATCTGTTTTATGGAACTTGCAAGGTAGAAAATTGAGAAACTAGTAATTAAAATACAACAATGCATAGGTAAAGAATATGGAAACATATAGAAAAGGCAAGTAATTATGACCTAGGAGATGGATAATATTTAGGAACATAGGTTTTGGAACCAAGATGTCAACATTAGAATTCTGGCCCTGTCACTCATTACTTTTAGACCTGAGCAAATTATGTACCTTTGTTTCCCTGCCTATTAAAAGTAGGATGCAGATAGTGTTACCTCCTAAGGTTATTATCATAGAAACTAATGAGTTGTTGACATCTTAAAGTAATAAGAAAGAACTAACTAAATGTTAAGGGGAAATAATGAAAATATAGGGAGGCAGCTCAAAAGTTGGTATGGTATGTATGGTATATTCATTGGACTCCTAATTCAATCCCTAAATCTAAAGCAATAAAATTATAAAAACAAATAAATCATAACATATCCTCAAAATTCTATTTGTATTGAGTATTTAAGACTTTTCCTTGTTATCACAAATTGGGTATTGTAAATAATCCGTGGATAATTTAAAATATATGAGTGAGTATTTGTGTAGGTAATATAAAAGTGCTACTCTTATTTTGGAAAAACATGGGCATTTGTAAAGTTTGTTGTACACTCAACACTAGAACGGGTGTTCACTTACAGAAAAAAGGAAATAAGTATCTTTCTTAAAAACAAAGAAGTCATAGAGTTCAAAATCATTATTTGAAAGGCAAGCAGAATTTCAAGGAAATGAGAATGAGGAAGAGCAGAAATACTCTAAATTCAAGAAAAACTAAGTATTAACATTGTACATTGTATTTAAGGTAGTATTTGTGTATGGCTCTGAAAATGTGTGCTAAAAATATGTATTTTTAATTGTATGTATGTATGTATGTATGTATGTATGTATGTATGTATATGTGTACATGAGTGAAGGTACCTGAGGAAGCCAGAAGAGGGCATAGGCTCTCCTGTAGCTAGAGGAGGTTGTGAGTTGTTGGATCTGCATTCTGGGAATGAACTCAGTTTCTTAGTATGAGCAGCTACATAATCACCGAACCATAACCACTGAACTGAAGTTACTAACTTCAGTTGGTTCTATAACAAATCAGACCGAACAAGCCTTAGAAAGCAAGCCAGTAAGCAGCACTCTTCGATGGCCTCTGTGCTACCTCCTGCCTCCGGGTTCCTACCATGTTTAAGGCCCTAATCTGACTCTCCTCAATGACAAACAGTGATGAGGAAGCATAAGCCTAATAATCCCTGTCTTCCCCAAGTTGCTTTGGCCATGGTATTTCATCACAGCAATACAACCATAACTGAGAGTGTGTATCATGTTATACTTATGGTATTGCTCATTAGAACAATTCCATTATATGGAAATACCATATTTGGTTTATCTATTTATCAATTGATAAACATTTGTGCTGTTATGTTTTTAGTATTGGGTACAACACTAATATGGACATTTGTTCTTAAGTGCTTTTGTGTAGATGCATACCATTTCTTTAGATCAGTATATGGGAATTGAAATTCTGAGTAATAGAGGATTTATATATTTAGTATTTTGAAGAACTGACAAGCTACTTTCCAAAGCCCTTACCTTCTTTTATTTCTACAGCACTAGTATTCCACTTTTCTAAATCATGCCAATATTCATCATTGTCTTGTGAATCCTTTTCATCATAGCTACTCTGATGCATGTGAAGTGGCCATGCACAGGTTTTTGTTGTTTTACTTCTGTAATCTGTGTATCTTGTCTGGCGTACTACAATGTTTTAATTGGTCTTCATCTAAACTATCCCCCACTCAGTACCACAATGACACCAGGTAATCTTAATATTTGGTTTTGATTTACTGTTGTTCTGTGAATTTTGTTCTTTATACAAAGGAGCTTTCATTTGAAAGAGAAAAAACCCACTTCAGCTTCTACTTCTTAAAGTAGAAATTAAATTTAACTAGCCTGTATTCATTTTTTGCCTGGATGCAAAGATTCCATAGTTCAATGGGTAGATAATGAAATTCTAGATTTTAAAAAGTATAAACACTGGGTTGCCTTGGACATTGGAGGCATTTTAATTAACTTATTAAAATTTAGTTAACTAACATACGATGTTAAATATCTTCAAGAGGAAGTTTATTCTGTGGGACGGGAAGCATCATCACTTAGTCTTTCCCTCCAATCTTACTCTCATGTTTCACTAGCTTTCTCCTTGATGACTCATTTTCTCATCTACATTTCCCTCTTCTGTACACACAGACTTTAGGCTTTTTAGGAAACTCACAGGGAATTTAATCTCCCAAACATTATAATTTTCCCTGTAGTGTTGTTAGACCATTAAGGGCAAGAACCATTATAGGCTGGTCCTTCTCAACACAAGATAAACTCCCCTCGGTGGCAGCTGAATTTAATTTTTTAAAAATTAGAATCTAAATGATGATCTCGTCAAACTTCTCGGTGCTGCACATATATGACACTTTCACACAACCAAAATAGTGGTCACCAAACTGCTGGATGCCACTCTTCAGTAGAGTTAGGGACTGACTTAGAGGCTTGTGACCATATCAGGAAGTTTAAGAAGTAGAATAAAATGATAAATTTTAAGTTCACAATCTGAGCACAAAACATTTCTTCCTTTTAGGTTTGAATGTTGGATGATACACACACGGCATAATTTTATATGTGAATTAGTACTCAGTGCATGCTCATTTATTTCAGGGAGAACATAAGCAAATGTATATATTTTCTCACAGGCTCACTTTCTTCTATCCAACTATTGTTTAGGTGCCTATGTACACCTGGCTTACATTCTTTGTGGCATTAGTAAGACATTTGCAAAATTAGGGCTTCATATTCCAAGATTCTGTAAGTGGCCACAGTATTCATGTGCCTCCCTAGCCACTTTCCAGGACACATAAGATAGAGTTATTAAGAAGATCACCACTGTCCCCACTTGTTTATTTTGTGTTGTGCTCTATCTGGGGACCATCACTGAGCCATTCCCAGACTCACTATGGGCTCCTTTTCAAAACACTTAATGGTTATATCATAGTATAAATTTCCCAAATGTATCAATATTGTCAATAGTAACAAACATTTAAACATAATATCCAAACTAGAGGGATTTTTAAAAATAAACTTACTTGAAAATAGCATCCATAATAATAAGACACAAGAAAAAACACAAAAAGAGAGTCAAAGAAAGGTATGCTTGAACATTTCAACTATTCCTGAAGTGGTCTGTTTATTTCATCTTAAGCAAAGTGAAGGTGAAAGTGCAACTGGAAGACAGAAGGGGGGTGACTTTGTGTTAAGGAGGAAAATTCGTTACAAGTTAGGACATCCTAGAGAACTGGCCACAAAATAAATTACAGTCTTATTACAAGTGCAGACATAAATTGGAAACTGGGAGGGACAAAATAAAATGCAAACACTAGAAGATTTGAAGATCATGAAAATTGGGAGAAATATTCATTGCGTTGGAATAGCTATAAGATGAAATACATATGAAATAGTATCAGTTATGGTCACGAAATAACCCCAAACTATTGTAAAGAGTAGGACTTTCCTCCATTACTTTCCCAGGGAACTGGGGTGGTAGATTGGGGGAAATTGGCTTCAGGAATTTGAACTCATTTGTCCCAGTACCTCCCATACTGGTAACTCTGGGACAAGGTTCCCGCCCCACTGACATCCACCAGGTGACCAGGAAAGTGTCCTTCAGGCACAGAGCAGCCACCCAGAGAGGCTGCCCTTGCCCTCCTGCACAGCCTCACACCCACGAACAACAGCACAAACAAGAGGAAGAGCGAAGACACTGACGCCAAAGCAATGACCAGGTACAGAGTCAGCACATCTTTGTCCTGAGCATGGTCGTGCCCCACCTCAGGCAGAGGCAGTTAGGTCTGAGAGAAGCCATCCACCACCAGCACATGCAGAGTGACACTGGCAGACCTAGGAGGATCGCCATTGTCCTTGACCGCCACCAGCAGCCTGTGCTTGGGAAA